ACAACAAAATAAAGCAAAAGCACTGAAATCAGCTCCTAAATGATGTCTGAAGGTGTCAGGGAGATGGCTTGGTGGGTGAAGTGCTTCCTGCACAAGCTCGGGATCCTATTCTCAGTCCCCATGTAAAAGCTGGACCCAGTAAGCTGAGCTAGTGGCCCTCGCTCGCCTTTAATCCCAGCACTCAGGAGGCAGAGGCATGGAGATCTTTCTGAGTTCCAGGCCTGGACTGCATTGTGAGTTCCAAGACAGCCAAATCTATACAGTGAGATGCTGTCTTCCAAAGAACAAACAAACAAACTGTAGCAGGATGGTTTCCTGCTGCTACATTATTTGCAATAAGCACGGTGATTGGGGAGGAGCTAATGTGGGAGGAGTGAGGAGAGGAAGAGGAGAAGGAAGAGGAGGAAGAGGAGGAAGAGAGAGGAGAGAGGAGAGGAGAGGAGAGGAGAGGAGAGGAGAGGAGAGGAGAGGAGAGGAGAGGAGAGAGGAGAGGAGAGGAGAAGAGAGAGGTAGCAGCCATGGAGAACCATGCATGAGTCCAGAACAGTCCTGGGTAGTGGTTTATATCTTAAGGTTAGGTATAGGGTAACAACGCTAATTGTTGGGCATCTTGTTAAATGAGCATTTCCAATATAAATATTGGATAATATTTAAGCAATAAGAGTCTTCATTCTACCAGGTACCGTGGGCATGGCAGCCCGAGCTAAGCAGAGGGCTGCCACAGCCGCTTAGATAGTCAGCACGCACAGCAGCATTTAAAAAATATTAACATCAGCAACGAACAAACAAGAACAAGCTGAGAACAGTACCTCACCGAAGTGTGGGCCAGTGAATCTGGAGGACTTGCTAGGTAGTCAGTCTAGATTAACCGGCAAGCTCCAGATTCAGTGAGATTACGGTGGAGAGCAATAAATGAAGAAACACGATGCCGTACGCGATCAAGCCAATACACATGTACACACACATGCTCACATGTGTACAATGCACACACACTCTGATGCCTAGAATTTGTTTCAAGGTAACATATGCAAAGAGGAGACAAAGGGACACAGATGAGGTGACACAGGCTGGGAACTGATAACTGTCTAAATGCTGAGGGGCACGTCTCTGCCCCTGCATCTCTCTGAAATCCTCCATCACAGAGGAGAAAAAAACAGACAAACGAAGCGCAGAACTAAGGACCAGAAACTTGCTAGTGATTAGCCTCAGCCTTTGGCTTCATCTAAACAGCCAACAAGAAATGCTGTCTCTTGTTGTTTTCTGCTCTCCACATCTCATGAGAGGTGGTTTTGTAGCTGGAGGGATGAAAAACCTCGCAAGGGCAGCGGCAGGGCTGGTGACAATGGCAAGCCACAGTGCGTTTCAGTGGTGACTGCTATGTTTTCCCACAAGCCCTGGGGATGGAGTGAACATGGAAATCACTAGTGATAAACCGTGAGGCCATGGGGGAGCTATGGCCTCATGTAGGACAGGATGGCTGTGAGCAACCCACACCTCCGGAGCAGGAGACACCTCTAAGTGGAGGAGCTTGGGCATCCATCAACATGAAAGAAACAAGGAAAGGCTCTATCTCCATACCTTGTGGCCAGGCTAGCCCCCAGGGCTTCCTTCATAATTAAACTACCTAGTAACTCTTAAAGGTGGAAACTTCTGTACTCAAGCCCAGTGGCCACTGTTCCAAACAGCTTCTTCCAGGAACTAAACACTAGGAATGGGGTAACTGAACCAAGCGGAGTGCTGTACCCTTATAATCTCAGCACTTGGGAGGCTAAGGCAGGAGGACTGAAAGTTCCCAGTCAAACTAAGCTACCTGGTGAGGTCCTAACTCAAAAAGAAGTAACTAAACAAATATCCCACTACGTACTTAAAAACAAAGAGTCCTGAAAATGAAGAGTTAACATAAATCTATTTGAAGGATGTTGTAAATCATACCGTAAAATATAACCTACATTCTGACCTTGCATGTACAAAAGAAGGTCCTTTAAAGAATAAATAGAAAGGAGGGTCCAGAGAACTGCCATCTTCTACTGTCCTTGGTGGGAGACAATTCCTTGGACCAGCTTGACTCTACTTCAAACCCTGAGGTGATGGGTAAAAAAGAAATCAATTTGTGGATTTGGCCAAGGTGTCTACACGAATAAGCAAAAACACACCCAGGATTTTGTGGAATTATAAACCATGGGTCTAATCCTGGTTTCTGAACACTGCGTCTGGCCTGGGCTCCCAGGAAGCAACTTTTCCTTTGCTTCAGGCAAATCTAAGTAGGATTTTTCTTCCTTATAATAATCTCCCAGCAAGAGAAGAATTTACGATTGATTCATCTTTTGCTGAATGCTTAAAAATAAAAATCTTTCCTAACCTATAATTATGCTTGAGCTCCAGCCAACACAATTTAGACTAGAGGCATGTTTCAGCCCTCTTCCCTCTTCCCAGAACATGTGAAAAGCATAAAAGAATACGGTCTCACACACCTTTCTACAATGTAAGTATTTAGTATACACTCTTAGCGGTCTAGGAGCCTTCATGGGAGTGCTGTTGCAGCCTGCATGGCTTCTGTATGATTAGTGACAACCCTTCCCAGTGGGAGCTCCCACTAGGAAACATAGCTTCTGAGCTATGTTTCAAGGAGCTGACCCCATACCTGGAGGCAGCCTACTCTATAGAGCACACCCTGCATCGGGGCTCCCTAGGGGACTGAGCAGATACTCCAGCTAAATCCAAAACCTCCACAGGCTTTCCCCCTCCCTCCTGCCCCATCCCTCCCATGTCATCTTGAGAGAACACCCACCTCACACTCCACCTTAGGGAACTTAAGCTATCGCTTTCAAGAACCCCATGGAGCAAAGTAAAGTGAGCAAGTTATCATTAGTTGGTTGTGCTCGGATGACTATGGATCAAATCAATTCTGTCAGAGGTAACGACTCTGGGACATAGCTGACAGACCACAGTTTTAGGGTGACAGACATGGAGGTGGTAAGCTAGCATTTATATAATCTCAAATCTCCTGCTTGGGCATCCAAGATCATACACAAAATATGCTTTCCACCAAGACTCATTTCCCAAGATCATCTAGGAGCCACGAAACTAGCTGTCCACCTGTGTCTGTTCAGAGAATGGCTGTTGCTCTTCTGAGCTATGACAAAGGTCTTGCCCTAGTATTATGTAGCCCAGGAAGAAGTAAGTTGGTTTTATCCGCATTTCTCTTAGATATTCAAAATTCTAAATTCTACAAATTGAGCAGAAAAGAAAAATCTCAGGGTAAGATCCAAGCGTGTTCTGTCTATACCTGATGGTACAGTGAGGTCAATTCATAGCACACCTAAAAGAAAATCATTCCTTTATCAGTTGTTTCAAGAATTGAAAGCACATGGCTTTGGAGATAGCTCAGCTTGTAAAATCCTTGCATTGAGGACCTGAGTTCAATCTTCCAAACCATGGGGGATAAGATTTCAGGGGGATCCCTGGGTTCGCCTGGCAGCCAGTCTAGCCTACTTTCGGTCCTAAGCCAATGAGAGACCTTATCTCAAAAAACAAGATGGATACGTGCTTGAAGAATGACTGCAAGGTTGTCCCACAGCCTCCACACACATGCACACGTGTACACCCACACAAACACACACAGAATTAAGACTATAAAGCGAGTCAACCTACCAACCAGATGGAACCAACACTGTTTGCCCAAGAAAGCAAAGTTCCTGACTGAACCAGTCTCCTGACCCTGTGTCCATCTCTAACTCACGTCACTCTGGCTCCTTCTTACAGCTCCTGTCTTGGGCTAACTCACAGGCAATCCAAGGGTGCGGAGTGGTCCCGCACAGGGAGAAAGTATGTCTTTCCTAAGCTCCCTTTCTGTGGATCTGTCTGTCGTCCCTTGCCTACCTCAGTTTTTTATGGGTTGGGAGTCCTCCAAGGCTCTGTGAACACCCATATTGACTATTCCTCCAGTCTTCCTAATGACGGCCAGAATGACGAGCCGCCTGCACCACAAATCACTCACCAGCCTTTGCCAAATGGAAAATGTTCTTGCCTACAATATATTTCAAATTCATTTTCCTGCTTTTCTTTTTAAAGACTTGGTCTCACTATGCTATCTAACCTCTTAGGCTCAAGCAATTCTCCTGCCTCAGCTCCCAGCAGTCAGGACTACAGGATACAACAGGGTGCCCAGCTCTTGCAACTTAAAAATGCATCTATTTCATTGTTTCTTTATTGGGTGGGACATGTCAGAGCATGCATGTGGGGGGCAGAGGACAACTTGCAAGAGTCAGCTCTCCTCTGACATGTGGGTTCCCGGGATGGAACTTGCTGGTCAAGCTTGGAAGCAAGTGTCTTCCTGAGCGCGCGCGCGCTCTCTCTCTCTCTCTCTCTCTCTCTCTCTCTCTCTCTCAGCTCTTAAAAAGCACTATCTTCCTTCTGCTTAAAAATCCTTTCCCTCTGGAAATGCTGCAAGGTGTCACTGGTTGGGTAGCTTCAGCAGTGAGCTGTGAGCTAGGGCAGCACGGACCTCCCATAAGAGCCTCAGCTCCTGTGCCCCAGCCGCGCCCTCCACACTGCGCCTCCCACTCAGTCTCTCAGGGTCAGGCGCTTCTGCTTCTCACAGCTGGAGATGCAACTCAATGGAGAACACATGGCTCTTCATGAAAGAGGCCTGGCTTCAGCTCCAAGTACCGAAAGGTAAGAGAATAAAAACAAACTCTTGCAAAGGTGATAAGAGCATCTACTTCACAAAATTATTGTAAGAAATGAAAAACAATACCATATGGGCAAGTCCCTAGCAAGCCGGTCTCTTCTTGGAGATGTCTAGAAAATATTAAAGCTTGTCTCTCTGCTTATCCCACAAGTCTGAGTTGTTCTCACCAACTGAGAATTGTGGGAAAAAATGATAAAAAAGCTTTCTGTCCTCTGAATCCATAGGGTTTAGAGAACAGACCCAGTGCATATGAGAAGCAGGTCTGACGACCCCACAGGGCACGAGGTGACAGTGCACAATAGTGGCCTACCTGGTGGTCGTCCGCATGGTGTTTTCTTTCGTGTGATTGTGTTCTTTGCTCACTTTTTCTGTAAGGAGACAGAATGAAACAGGTGACGTGAGCTAAGCTGAGCTCACATCCATCTTTTAGGCAGAAACATCCAATTCCTCTACCTTATTGGGAAAGTGAACCGATCTAGATAACAGCCACTGCTGAGCCCTAATCAAACAGTTAAGTGTGGTCTGCTTGGAAGTAGGCCTGCCTAAGTAGGAGTACATACCAGACACCCAAACATGCAACATACTGGCAGCTGCACAAGAATAGCTGTTTCTATCCATCTTTCATCCTTGGTAATTTCTATTTTCCTCAATTAAGCCCTCAAACTGCAGTTGTGGTAACTCTCCTGCCCCTAGCTCTGATGACAGTTTGTGTTGTTAGGCCCCTTCTGAGAATGACCAGAGAGCTCTTGGTGCTGTCATGGACTGCTTATTCTAATAAATGTCACTAGGAACAGAACGATGTCATTAGACAAGAGGTAAGCCTCATGCATCCTGGGGTCTGTATCTACCAGCTGTCAGAAATTATTTAATTAGCTTTCAAGAACACCAAGAACCATAGCCTCGCTGACCCAGTACAAATGTGAAGACTACCCGGCCGTCACAGCTTCCAACGGCTTCTCTGAAGCATTTACAGAAAACCTGGCCAATCCTACCAAGGGTTTCAGACTTTACAATCAGGTAAATAAAAACCTCAGGGACTTTTTGCAAACAACAACAAACTGTAAGCAAGCTTAATCAATCTTTCCCATCTGCCATTGACTACTCTGAAGCTAAGTCACATGTGTTTACATGGACATCTCCCTTTTCTTTCATTGTCTTTCAGCAATGACATCAAAGGAGAATCTGGACTGCCTGCCAGCATCCATGTAGAGCACATGCGATCTGGGGTCATCTAGGCTGTGGCTGTGCCAGGTGAGACCTCTCAGAGTCACACAGGCCACACTGGGCCCTTAAATCCCTGTCTACATAGCCTCGCTTTGGGATGTGCCTCAGCCTTTGAGGAACAAAAGATCACGTGTCAAGACTCTTAAAGCTCACTGGGTCAGTGATGTCCACCACTGTGGGCGATCTCAGTGTCATCAGAGCCACACAGCTGAGGAGGTGTCATCAGGCCAAGGAGAAACTACCAGGGTGGTCCATGGACTTCAGCTTCTTCCCTGGTCCATTTCTGACGGGTAGGGGACAAGTGCCTTTAAATAAGAGGAACTGCTTGTCTGATGGGAATGTCTGCTTTATCAAGTGTTAGTAAACAATGGCTGATAGGTGAGTCTCATGAAGCCCAGAGAAGGAGCTCTGCGTTCCTACCAAAACACCAGCCTTGTAAGAGCAGAAGCCCTCTGCCTCATGCACCGTCAAGGAATAGCAGCACATTAAATGCGGGACAAATGTCGTGATGCTTGGGAGAACAGACAAAGGCACAACTCCGGTCCTCGGACCCTGCACAGGGCTGAGTTCCTGTACATCTGGATTCTAAGCATTGGAAGGAAGAAAGGCTGATCTACAGAAACACCCCAAGACCACAACTGGAGACAGCCTTCACGTCCCCACTTTTTGCTTTTCTATTTAAATTTCTTTTCAGTAGGATATAATAAACTTTCACTAAGACAATATGACTTTTCTTGGAGGACACAGGTATTTATCTTTCTACATTACAAAGAAGAAGCTGTTAATAAGGTCAGCACTAAACCTTCTCAGGAGCCCACGTTTGAGCCTGGTCAACGGGATCAGCAGAGAAATACTCATAGCTCTAGTTCTCAACTGTGTTAAAGCCAGTATGCCAAAAGTGAGATGGCTCAGTGGGTAAAGGGGCTTGCTGCCAGGCCTGATAATCAGAGTTCTATCTCTAGAATCCATGTGGTAGAAGGAAAGAAGCAACTCCCAGGAACCTCTAACTTTCACATAAATAAAACCGTAATAAGTTTTTTAAAGTGTGGTTGGAATCCGATTTGGCAACACTTCATTAACCACTAATGTGGTATATAAGACCAGATCCTTCCTAAACTCCTACCACGTGCTTCCCTTCCCTTCCTAGGATGGGCTTTACTACCAATGCTTCTCAGTCAGCAATATTCCCACAATTCACCTACCTGAGAGTTGAAAAAGAAGCTCAGAAGCCATCTTCACAGAGATGTCCTGGCTGAAGAGATTTCTCTCTGGGGGAACTCGACCTTCTGGAAGCTTCTGTAAGGGTTCAGTTTTCTCTCGTCCCATTAAAGTGCTGTAGCCAACGTTCCGGCTGGGTGATATGGAGGCCGGGGAGTCCTGGATATCCACCTCCATGGGCTCTTCTTTAACCGTCACCGCCTGCGTTTCCTTGTAGCTTTCCGCTGCAAGCGGGTGGGTGAGAGAAACCAGAACATGGCCGTTCTTCATTCAGAAGCAAACCAGTTTCTGCTGTCTTTTTGTCTTTCTGTTGCACTGGGACTTGAACCCAGGGCCCACTGCATGCAAGGGGTGCATATGCTCCCTCCTGAGATGCTTCCCCTGGCAACTCAGTTGCTAATCACAAAGAAAACCGTGAAACTTGTGTACAGAAGAGTCTAGAAGAATGAGTGCCGTGGGACAGGAGTACACAGTGTGAAACCGTTGGCTCCACCCACCTGGCTTCCAGAAAAGGCAGGAAACCTGACAGCCTGAGAAGTTAAGTGGCCTGCTCAGGGTCACAGAGAATAGCCTGGCTGCCTACAACCTTGGCTTCCTGGTGAGGGGCTTCCTGACTGCCCCTGTGTACACCTTCCTTTGTTCTGCGTTGATTCAGGATGTGGCCACCAACTGTCCAGGCTTTAGAGCTCAGTTTTAACAAATCAGGTAAGACCTTATTAATATGATAATTTCTTCCCAGTCGTTAAAGACCATACCGCTTGTGTGTGTGTGTGTCTCATCAAAATTAACAAAGGTCAAATGGGGTCAACTCAATGCAGACATTTCTACCTTTCTCAAGTCTACTAACCCTTAAGACTACTTCTCAAGTTAGCCAATGCCCAGATGAACAGCCAGGAAACCAGCAGTCTCACAATGGAGTCTGTCTCAGAACAACGGCCCAACCCTCAGCTGCTCTTCCCTCAGGGGTTCTAGAAGGTCCAATATGCATGGGATTTGCAAGGCCCAGTGTCTGTTGTCATTCACTCCTTTGAGTTAAGGGACAAGATAGGATGGTTCATCCAAACATGAATTTGGGCCATTTAAAAACAAAGTCACATTTTCAAACCAGTAAACATTTATTAGTAACGACTGAGTACCCTGGAATACACAAAAAAAATCAAAGATGATTCTGATAGTTAAATAAAAGATAGATAGGCATTAGGGCAAAAAAATTGAGCAGTGACCCCCAACAAGGTATGTCTACATAACCCTAGGAACCTGTGAACTGTCCTATCTGGGGAAAAGCGGTTTGCAGACGTAACTAAGTGTTTCAAGATGAAGTCACTGTGGATAAGCCGGAGGGACCCTAGAGCCAATGTCAAGGGTCCTTCTTAAAGACAGAAAAGGACAAGGTAGAGTCAAGAAAAAGCCTGGATTTACACTGCTACAGGTCAAAGAGCTGCATAAAGCCAGACAAGGCAAAGAAAGGGAGGGCCCTCCTGCTATGGCTTTTGGAGGGCATGAAACTTCTGAACTAGGTTACGACAAACAACAATACCAACAGCAGCAGCAGCAGCAACAACAACAACAACAACAAGCTAGAAATGGTCTACAGCCTGTGCTGACGCCAGAGTCAGTCTGGTAAACTACTGCTTTCCTCTCAAGCACGGCAGGGACAAAAGTCAACAGCGCACGCAGAGTACCGACTGGCAGTTAAAAACAAGCAAACAGGGGAACAGCACTTCAAATTAAGCCATTAAAATTAATCTGCCGCTCCCAATCTGAGCTTAGGTTACAGGAGCACCAGGTTTCTCTTCCTAAGGTGTTACACAGGATTCTGGGGGAAACAACTCATTCTTTTCTCCACAGCTGACAGTGGAGCAACAGGCATTTCATCTAGATTGTTCCCCCTTCCCTCCTCCTGCCAAACTGCTTCCCCTCTGTAAACTAAGCAGCTCATAAAAGTTAGTTCACTGACTCAGTCAGGTGTGAGACAGGAGTAAAGTAGAAAGTGGAAGAAAAGGACGGAGAGAGAAATGGAGGGGGAGGGGCTAGAGAATGAGGAAAGAGAGAAACTGGAGAAGGAGAGGAGGAAGAAGAGAAGGAAGAGGAAGGAACTGACAGTGAGAAGAGCAGAAAGTGTTTTCAGTTACCAATTGTCCCCTCTGCTCAAAATCCATCAGCTGTTTTCTGGGGAGCTAGCTTCCCCCACCCTAGGGATTTGATGAGACACCCATCCCCTCCCAATCCCCCACCTCCAACACCACCTCACTCACCAGCCTACCACCCCTCCCCCTCCACAGACATCCTTGCCTCAGGCTGGACCTCAGGCTCACATGAGTAATCACAGCACACATCTCCTCCTCCATGTTCAACCAAGTACTCAGTAAGTGGAAACTAAACTGTGGGGCTGTGTCGCAGGTACACAATGGTGGCTCTGACCTTCACACTCCAGACCCTGAGGCCAGGAACAGAGGAAGTCAGGACTCTTACAATGGGATCCATTGACTCAAGAAAGAAAAACATCTCAGCGACACAGTGAAGCTGGAAAGAGGTTCCACAGTGAGTGTACCTATCTCCTCCTCCACCCCCAGGTCCTCATCTTTGACCCTGGATTAAAAACCACGTGACTGCCTGCTCCGTTGACTTGAACAGAACAATTAGTTTTTCAGGTCAACTGAGGTAGTTTCCAGTATGGTCTGCATGGAAGTGCTTGCTTCCTGTCCTTTCTTATGACAACCTTTTAAAGTGCACAAGACACTGACCTCTGATTAAAGCATCCTCCATCCCCAATGGATTCCGTATGTGCAGAGAGGGGAGGGGCACACAGCTCAAGTACGACATCACAACCAGCCCTTCCTCTCCCCGGAAAATTTACCAAGACTTTCCTTGACTTTTTAAAAGAAAAATGTGCTTGGGTGTTTTGCCTGTATGTAACTGTGTGTTCTGTGTGTGTGTGTGTGTGTGTGTGTGTTCTGTGTGTGTGCTGTGTGTCTGTGTTGTGTGTGTGCTGTGTGTGTATGTGTACTGTGTGTGTGCTGTGTGTGTGTGTGTACTGTGTGCTCTGTGTGTGTGTGTGTACTGTGTGTGTGCTGTGTGTCTGTGTGCTGTGTGTCTGTGTTGTGTGTGTGCTGTGTGTGTGTCATGTGTGTGTGCGTGCTGTGTGTGTGTGCTGTGTGTGTGCTGTGTGCCTGGTGTCTGTGGAGGAGAGACAGTGCCTAAGCCCCTGACACTGCATGGCAGGGACTATGAGCTGGGTGCTGGGTTTGCTTCAAGAGCAGCAAGTGCTCCTCCATCCTGAGCCACCTCTCCAGTCCCCACTCCTTTTCCTCGTCCTTGGTGGCCTGATGATCTCTGGTGGGTGGGCTCTGCTGGGGTCTGTAAGACACTTTGTGCTTGGAACCACAGTGCTTCCTGGGGCTGAGAGGACAGCTCAATTGGCAAAGCATCTGCTGTGGCAGGCGCAAGGACGGAGTTCAGATCACCAACACCCATGTGAGTCAGGCATGGTGGCATGCATTTGAAACCAACAGATGGAGGGAACAGAGACAGCTGATTTAATGCATTCTAAATTCATTGAGAGATCCTATCTCAAAACATAGGTGGAAACAGGCAGGAAGGCCCACACCTTTAATCCCAGTACTCAGGAGGCCGAGGAAGGCAGACCTCTGAGTTCAAGGCCAGTGTGGTCTACAGAACTAGTTCCAGGATAGCTAGGGCTACACAAAGAAACAGTGTCTAAAAACAAACAAATAACAAACCAAAATAGATAAATACATATAAAACTTTATCCTAAGTACAGAAGAAAAGGTTCCTCTTATGTCCCAGGAGGGATCCGCCCCAGGTGGCTCACAAGGCCCGGCAGGCTGCCTCAACAAGCTGGCCTAGGACCAGAGGTCAGGCTGACCTGGAAACACGTATACCACAGACCACTGTGTCCCCAGCTCAGCTCCTATCTGCTTTGGGCATTCTCCTGGAACAATAGTTGAGTTAATCGGTCCTGCTGGCTCTGGAGTTTACTCCCACCAGGGGTAAACGTTTACTTCTAGGACCTATAAACACAATAGCAATGGCTTTAGACTCTTGTCCTCGGTTAAAAGAACAAGTACTGATGTCTGTCCCAAGGTATCTATACTGATAAAGGGGACTGACGCCATACTTGTCAGTAAAGTACTTGCCTTGCTCCCTAACACCACGTAAAAATATCAGGTGTGGCCTTGCCCAAAGTAATCTCAGTACCTTGGTGGGGCAGGGTGGGGGATGGGTGAAGCCAGGTGGCTCCCTGGGGCTTGCTGACTTGGTAAGCCTCAAGGCAAAGAGAGGGAGGCCTTGGCTCAAAACCAAGCCTGACATATCCTGAGGAACAAGACCTGAGGTTGACCTCTACCCTCTACATACATGCACACACATGAACACTCCCGTGCGCACACACACACACACGCACACACACGTGTACACACGTTCACACACACAGAAGACACTGTTAACAGTCTATGATGCATGAGAAACATGCTATGTGTGACTATCTACAGAAATCCTTTTTTATATCTCTAATTTTCCTTTAACAAATACAAATAAAGTTCCATATACCTACTTTTCAAAATGGAAGAGAATTAAAAGTAATGTTTAAAAAGTGAGGGTGTCCAGTTTGGGATTGGAAGTGTGGGTGACGTACCCTTTGATGCCCAACAGCATGGGAAAGGTGAACTGGCTAAATCCACTCACACCCTCCTTGGTAACAGAAGGTGCAGAGGGTAACTGTGTCCCACCGGCCATCCCACAGTGTGCTCTTTCTGAGGAGATGATAAGTGGATAAGTGTCCCTTTAATACAGAAAGTAAAATTAAAACAGTTTGTAAAGATGCCCAGAAGTGGTACTGAACGCTGTCTGCTGTGCTGGGTGTACTGTGTGGTGTGGCTTCAGGGGCCGAGGTGATAGAGGAGAGCTGGTACATACTTGTAGAACAAAACAAAAGCAACCTACTGCTATCTCCCACACTCTCTCTGAATCTGCTCCATCCCATTTGCTGGGTGAAAAGTCAGGCAAGGCCTCTAACCTGACCATTCTCAGCTAAAACAAGAACCACAGCCCATTAAACAGCAAAACTTTCTGAATTCCAAAACCAGGCACTGGGCAACAGGGTGAACTTCCTCAGAGGGTGACTGGGCTCTGCCCTGAAAGGGTCCTCAGCAGGAGAGAGGGGCTGGAGGACCAGGAGGAGGGACGTGAGAAGCCACCGGAAGGT